AAAAAAAAAAAAAAAAAATCGGGTGACCGCAGTACCGGTCTTGTCATTTTCAAATTGCAAGAGCAAAACAAAAAATAAATGTCCAAAATGAGTCCATCAAAAGAGGTTAAAATAAAGAGCCAAAATGTCTGGAGGTGACCTGCTTGAGTGCATTAGGTAAGTTAATAAGCCTGAGTACCCATAAGTCAACATGAGGAGCCTACAGTCACATTTAGCATCTCTGTCCCTCAGGGTAACTTCAGATAGCTGAAAGCAGGTCCCACAGTCTGCAGCACTCCAACTACTGTTTAACAAAGCAAATGTCTGTAAGACAATAAAAGCCTTAATCAATCAGCTCGCTGTGCTTATGTTTATGAGCCTGCAGCGCCAACCATCCATCACCCGGTTTTTACCACTCAAAACACAGACACAGAGACAAAAGAAAGGCATAATGTGAGGAGCTGGCCTGCTGCATACTAAATTAATAAAACAATCACAACCTTGCAAAATAAGCGACATGATTAAGCACCCTGCTCCAAGAAGTTTCCTTTCAAGAAGAGTGGTCAGAAATGGATGTTTGTGTCCGGCTCTTTGAGTCATGATAGTTGTTATAACAGTCTGTCATAATAATAGTACTAAAACTTCACTGCATTCAGGTGAGCTTTATCAGCTCGTGTCGGAGGTGATATTATCAGCTATGAGTTCATTTTTGTCTTAACAGAGTGTCTTAACCTTAGCTATCTGCCCCCCCGCCCTAAATGCGATTTGTTGACAGCTACTTTACAGACCTGTGCCTGATGTTTCGAAGAGTGACGTTATCTCGCTCCAGAAGGGAGGCAGGAAGTGATAGTGGAAAGGGATGAGTTCAAACACATTGCAGTGTGTGCACACAGAGGAGTGAAGGTAGCTTTATCTAATCACACTGCTCCGTCTGATGAAATAAACTTCCATGGCTGTGATCGAGTGTGCAAATGTGTTGTACAGGTGTGTGTGTAACCGCTCAGTTTTTTCAGTAGTGAGAAGAAACTAAGACTACAAGGTACAAATTGTTCTAAAGGTGAAATATTTCTCCACTTTTGTTTTTTTTTTTAAATATAATAGAAAGAAAAAAAACTGTACACTACTGTTCAAATGTTTGGGATTGGTAATATATATATATATATATATATACCGTATATATTATTTTTTTTGTAATGTAATTCATTCCTGTGATGACAAAGCTGAATTTTCAGCAGCCTTTACTCCAGTCTTAAGTGTCACATGATCAGAAATCATTCTAATATGCTGATCTGGTGCTCAAGAAACACTCCTTCATATATGATTTCTTAAATAAATAAACAAATAAAAATCTTACTGACCCCAAACTTTTGAACGACACCATATATAAAAGATAAAGAAAGTATTATTATTGACACAATGGAAAATGGTCCAAAAACTTTTTTTCCCCTTAAATAAATATATATACAGTATATATATAATTTTTTTAACGCATTAAACACTTGGAACTCCTACAAATTAATTTTTTTTTTTTTAAACTTAAAAACAATGATTCTGAATATTTTCACTGTTGTCAATTGGATTAGCTAACCTGTGTCATAAAACATTTCCATTTAAATTTTTGACTGAAAATAAGAAATAATACTGTATCATATAATTGTGTTATATATGCATATAGTAAATGCATTTGTATCATAGTAAATACAATATTGGCCACTATGAACAGTGTGAGGGGGGAAAAACACAGCAATTCAATTACCAATTTTTCCATTTTGGTACAGTGCTATCATATGACAACATTCACATTTTTGCACATTTCTATAAAACAATGTTGGATAAAGTGGATAAGTTAACAACTGCACCTAATCAACTAAAAAAAAAACATTATGAAGAAGAAACATACCAAATTACTATACCGTACTACACAGGGCTAAAAGTGTGTGTGCTTGTGTCCTTGACGCCATCTGACAAATGAATCTTGGTCTGGTCCATAGTTTTCATCATCTGATTTAAGAACGCAACTTTAGCAAAACATCAGCACTGTTTACAGGTACCAGCAGCACTGGGCGTCACTCAGGGGTCAAAGTGAGGGGACGACCCCCTTAAAGGGGCCACTTTACAGAAACAAGAAGACAGGGAGGAGTCCTTATTTTTCTTAAAGTTAAGATGCAAGAATTTCAAGGGGGAAATTTAGTTCTTTCAGGCCATACTGACTAATGGTCTGATCTGAATGAAGACAGATTGCCACACACACGCACACACAGTAGTCTGATGGGAAGTAATAAAGCAAGAGAAATGAGGAGTGTGTGTGCTAGTGTGTTGGTATGCGTATCTGTGTGTGTACGGCTGGTTCGCTGTGTTATCGGAACAAATGGGATATGTCTCTCAGTCGCCCTTATCTCAGAGGAAGCAAGTCAATGGGCTATCAGCACACGTGTATGCGTGTGTTTGTGTGAACTCTCTCGGCCTGAAGCGTTGTCCTCCTGCTAATATAAAAAACCTTGCTTCTATACAATTCACTGAAGATGTGACATTAAACACAAGATTTTAGCACACAGGCACATACCTGTCCCTCCATGTCTGTCTGTGCTGCTGTCTGTCCGACAGGGCGTTCAGTAAAATGTCTGCCATCTCTCTTCTGTTCTCCTGTGCCGTGTTCTCGTCCTCCACCACAGCCAACAGCAGCTGAGTCTGCAAACAAACAACACAGTCGCTTTATAATTTCAAACTAGAAATCACACAAAATCAGTCAGTCATTCATGCTCAACAACGTTATACTATACACTATACAAAAGTTTGGGATCAGTAGTCAGTATTTTTTGTTTGTTTGTTTTGAAAAAAATGTAAACTTTTATTCTAAAAGGATGCATTAAATTAATCAAAAGTGACAGTAAAGACCTTCTTAAAGGTACAAAAGATTTCTATTTCACATAAAGGCTGTTTTTTCGAACTTTCTATTCATCAAACAATCCTAAAAACAAGTATCATGGTTTCCACAAGAATAAGCAGTACAACTGTTTTCAACATTGATATTAATAAGCATATTAGAATGATTTCTTCTGAAGGATCATTCGAAAATTCAGCTTCGCCATCATGGGAATAAATACAATTTTACAATATATCAAAATAGAAAAGTTAATTTTAAGTGAAATAATATTTCACAATATTGCTGTTTTTACTGTATTTTTAATAATGTAGAAAATGCAACATTTTAAATGGTTGTGTACTTTATATACAGAAACCACAACTACTGTAAGTGATAATGTTACGATGGGCAAAAGCATTACAATTTGTGAACAATTTTAAAGACTATACTCGAACTATACTGAATGAAGACATGTTGATAAAACATTTTTAGCCCTGGAGTCTCTCGTAACCAGGATTCGAAATTTGAATATGAAGAATTGTAAATGAGATTAAGAGTCATGGCATAAGGCAAGACAATGCCCACACAATATCATACAGTAAGGCTTCATTTTTTTTAATGCAATTATTTTCCCCATAACATTCTGCATCTCAAACAATCATAAATTAGTATTGTACACAAGCATATTCATGAGTGATTATTAAGTAATACATTTAAGACTGGCACAAATATGGCAGCATAAAACCACATTAGGGTTGCACAGCAACTCTAGCTCTTAATGGATCCCTGAGTAACCTCAATAAAGAAACAACTGCTCTTATCTTGAAATAAAGAAAATAAAGGAATCAAACTGTATTACCAATCCTGTGGACAAGCTCTTAGCCAGCGCTTAAACAAATCAATACACATTCATTCCCTTCATGTCAGAGGTCAAATCTATTCTTTACTTATGCTGCTGACTCAATCTTACAAACACTAATGATTAAGCCAGAATCAGAAACAGCAGGACAAAATTATATTTGCTTTGCAATGATGTTTCTGCGTGCATCATTTTTTTAATACAATAATAATAATATACATAAACATTTGAAAATATACACTACCATTTAAACGTTTGTGATAGGTACGATTTTTTGAAAATGTTTTTGAAGTCTCTTATGCTCATGAAAACTGCATTTATTTGATCAAAAATACAGTAAAACACTAATATTGTGAAATATTATTACAATTGAAAATGACTATTTCTATTTTAATTTATATCAAAATAAATTTTATTTCTGAGACGACAAAGCTGGATTTTCAGCAGACATCACTCCAGGCTTCAGTGTCACATGATTCGTCAGAAATCATTGTAATATGCTCAAGAAACATTTCTTATTATTATCAATGATGAAAACTGTTGTGCTGCTTAATATTTTTGTGGTAACCGTGATGTATACTCTCAGTGTTTTTATGCATGGAAAGTGTAAAAGAACAGCATTTATTTGATCTTTTTAACACTGCAGATGTGTGTACTGTCACTTTCAATTAATTTAACTCATCATTGCTGAAAAGTATCAATTTTATTTTTTTTAAAAATCAAATCTTATTAGCACTAAACTTTTGATTGGTAGAACATTTTAATATAACAATAAAAAAAACATATATTAAAATATATTTTAAAAAGTTTTCATTTCTTTTAAAAAGATGCAAAATCCCAAACTTTCCCTCTCTCACGGTCTTCCTCTACAGTAGCAGGAGCTAAAATGATTGACAGGTGAGGAAGCATACGCAAAAAGTGCTCTGAGCGTTGGTTCACCTCACCTGTTTCACAGCAATCTCTTTTTCTTTATTTCTTTTCATCCCCCGTTCATCCATGAGACAGCACTTCTGTCTCTCGCTGAAGCATTACCTGTCAGCGATCGTTACCTGTTAGACTAATCCTGTCTCAGAAAGCGCGGGTGAAAGAGTCTGCCAAGACTAACTCTGACTATGGGTTCACGAGGTCAGTTGAATCACACCAGACTAAACATAGATGACACAACAACAGTGACTCACGATCGTGTGTGTGTGTGTGTGTGAGAGAGATAGAGAATAACTGTGGGTTTTTTTTTTTTTTTACAAGGTGGGTTGATGAGATCAATTTTCACAACCAACTTACGTTTACCACCCTATATACGTGCACCTTATCTGTGCGTGTGCTTGTTTACCCCTGAATGACGTTAGCTGTCATCAGATGGGTGATGTTGTGCAGTGCTCCGGGGTTCAGGACCACAGTGAAGAGGGTGAGACAGAGGGCAAGTGACTAACAGAGGCGACTGTGTGTATTTGTATAAGGAAACACACTTCAGGTTACCCCACGCTAACAGAGGGGAAGAATAAACACACATGCACACTCACCAGGACTATGTGACAGGTACATCAGCCAACCAATGGCAGAGAGGCCATCTAAAATACCAACAGAAACCTGAACAGCTAGCGCCAAACTAAGATAATGTATGACATGAGGATTTAAAACACATAACAGCCAGTGGGCATTCTCTAGAAAACCTACGTTTGACAAACACACACACACACACAAAATTTACACAGCTGGACTGTATTTGATCAATTCATAAAACATATAGGCAGCATGACAACAGTAACAGTATGTGTTTCACAGTATGTTTTTCTGTTTGATGGACTTATGAGTTGGAAATTAGTGTGCTCAAGGCAGTTTTATGTTAATAGGATAAACAAAGAAGTAATTTCAGCATGTATCATTCAATAACTTAAATGCCAAGTGAATTTGATTTCTCAATAAGTTCTCAATCAAATTTAAATGTTATGTCATTCATTCATTATGATTTTCTTTCTTCTATGGAACATAAAATAATATATTTTGAGAAATATATGGGGGGGGGGGGGGGGGGTTCAGCCAGATTGACCCTCTGATCTCTCTGAGGCTCATCAATTACCTCTCCCCTCAGAGCCAGCACGCTGAGAGAATGGATTATATGAAGTGTAAAACATTAGAAAAATGTGTTCACAACATCACAGCAATGTGTCCGAGGACAGAGGAGGGGACAGATAATAGAAACCCAGCTGCTGAAGAGCACAACGCAACAAGTGACAGCATTTGAAGGCATTGTAGGGCAGCTCTGCGGACCGCAGGCTTTTGTGCTGGGGATTGTGGTTCCTCTAGCCAGAGGCAACTGGACATATGCTTTTTGCTTGAGCTAATGAGGCAAAGGCTAAACGCTTTGTTATTTTCTTTCTTTATCTGCCATGGTTTGTCTCTCTCTGCCTCTTTTAGGTGGGAACATTTTAAAAAAGGCAACTGTAAACCAAAAGCCCTTGATAACATCTTAAATCACCAAATCTGCTGCCTAATATGTCTATAGATGAAGAATTTAATGATTCTACCACTCTTTCTGTAGACGTAATATAAGCTCCAAAAATCTCATCTGCAGAGCAGTTTCACCCGAAAGATTTCAACTACATCCATGAATACAAACTGTATGAGTAAAAAAAGGCTCTACTAATAATTCAAGTAACTGTACTTAATAATACCATGTTTTAAAGCAAAGTATTATGGAATTCTTTGCCTTACACACTCACATTACTATATCATAGCACCAACATTACTAAATTATTAATAATAATTATCAATTTATCTATTATATCAATTATCCATTAATTATCCACCACTACTGTGTGTAATTATAATTTATTATTTTTATTATATGTAATTATATGCCATTATTATATGTAATTATATGGACATATACACATAAACACTACTAAACGTCCGGGGTGAGTACGTTTTTTTTAATTATTATTTTATTATTTTGTTTTATTTATTTATTTATAAATTAATACTTTTTTATTCAAGGATGCATTAAATTAGATTAAAAAGTGACAGTAAAGAAAAAATTCCTATTGATCTTTTTATTCAAAGAATCCCCCCCCCACAAAAAAAAAAAGATGATTGAGGTTTTCACAAATATTATGCAGCACTGTTTATGCAACTGTTTTCAACATTGCTAATAATAAGAAACGCTTCTTAGAATGATTTCTAATGGATCATGTGACAGAAGACTGGAGTAATGGCTGCTGAAAATTCAGCTTCTCTATAACGTTCCACAACATATTTTCAAATGTATTAAAGTAGAAAACAGTTATTTTAAATGGTAATATTATTTCACAATATTACTGCTTTGACTGTATTTTTGATCAAATAAATACACCCTTGGTGAGCTTAATTACAAATCTTACTCCAAACATATAAATGGTGGTATGTATGTTTTATGGTTGGTTATGACAACTAATCCAATATCAGTGTCTTTAAAATCATGTTTGCTGTTCCCAGTACTCTGTCTCTTGAATGTATCACTTACTTTGTGACTTCATACCCACTTCCACTCTCTCTCATACACAAACATATGTATACACATATGCCTCATCTCTCTCCACCTCCATCTCCTTCTGGATCTGCCTGCTGATCAGAGATTAGAGATTAGCGTCTTGTACCCACATTTCTCCTGCCAGGGAAGCTTTTGGCAGTGGGAGCGAGGCCAAAACCTCACTCTCTCCTCACTCCACACAGATTCATTTTCAGCACTTAAAGAATGTGAACTCTAGGCAGAGATTACCATCACATAGACCTGAAGCCATTTTCATTATGTGTCTTTTTTCTACGGTGGCTGAAAAGTGACATTTGGGAAAAAGATTAACGTAGGCTTGCCACTAAAAGAACGAAACCCAACCCAAGTTGTACCGACTACAATTTATGATGTTATAGGAGACGCCGTGTTGTGTAATTTATATGTCATCTAAATGTTGAAAATATCAGTAGTGAAGTGCA